TTTACAACAGCATCCAAATAAAAGGCCTTGTGCCCATTGTAGCCTAAGTATATTTTTACTGGTAGCCTCCATATTTCATGTCAGCGACAAAGTGGGAGTGTCTAATTTGCCCATAGTTCCAAAATGTTCCAAATTTGATGGGGATCTGACATAGTATTTCACCTTCTGGGAGCAGTAGCAATGCAAGAACTGCCATTGAGTTTTGGAAAGATAGGGCTCTACTACTGCAAACATGGCTTCTGGGATGTTAATCCTATGTTTGAAACAAGTAAACCCAAATACCCACTACATCTAACAGGCAAAAATTAAAGTTGTCCAGTAGACACAGATCTCTAGCATATACCATACGCCTGTTAGGCCTCAAAGCTTCTGGAGGGGGAAAAATAATGAAAAAACACGCAATCTTTCATTCAAGATTTCTTCCTATTTCCAAAATACCTGTATTTTGCAAAGACTTTGAGAAGCTCTCCCGTTTTCTATGACATCTCTTTTTTTCTATAAAGAGTGAGTCCAGTTCCTTTTTCTGCTGAAGGGTTTCATTTTTGAGAATGTCATATTCTAACGTCTTATTCAAAAGCTTCTCCTTTAAGTAGTTGTCATTTTGTATATTGTGATACTTTTGACTGAGATTTTGCGGACTTGCATCCTGTCGGTGCTCTTCTTGAGTGCACTGCAAAACTAAAATTAATAACATAGATATAATACAAAAAAGTACTCATAATGCTTAAATGTTGGAATTTGATACAAGAGAAAAAAGTTTCATTTGGACAACCAACCCATTTCATTACTTTAATTAGCAATTTGACATTTAGAAAGTAACACCTCCATAACCTGACCATAGAAATAGAAATATCAAATTTCTCACTATTGGCAACTTAAGCATAGAATAAATAAAATAAGGTATCTGAATAAAATTATAAAGGTAACACCTTACCATTCCGTTTAGTTTCTTTTTAACAGTGCATCATTTACAAAAAGGCACTAAAAACCAGTCAATGAATATTTAACAACACGTTTTCTGAGTGTGAAAATCTCCACTAACAACATGAAGAAATAGCACCATTATTATTGGAGTAGATGGAATATCCGTAGGAGAAAAGAAAGGAAGATACAAATGTGTAATTTTATTTGAGTGTGTCATATTTGTGATTTTCTCTAAAGATGTCAAGGAATTCAAATAAAAAACAAAGGATGAAGTCAAGATCATCTAACATCCATGTATAAAATCACTCTTTTTGCTAAACCATTTCTTCATTGTATACTGAGATAAAATCAAGAGAAAGTCATAATTTCTTTTGAATAGTTGTTTCTCAAAGAACGTCTGTCTAAAATTCACAATGATCTAAACTCAGAAGGCAGAAAATTAGGAACTCCTTATCAGAAGGAATGTTGCCAAGTATTATACAGAATGAGAAAGCTCATTATAGATGCAGTCGTTGGAATAGGTAAATAAAATGAAAATGACACTGTGATGTGTCTGAGGAAAAATCACCAAAAAGGAGCCACCTGGGATATTCCCTGACTACAGCCCAGGCACAATTGTAGAGCATGGTTACTATCTGCACAGTTAGTGGCTGCTGCTCTTACTCAGACTTGAAGGATATATTTCTGTTACTCACTCTTTGTCCCCAACACTGTGACTGTCACCAAAAGAAGTAAACAGAAGACCCCAAGAGTCACTGCAATGAGATGCCAGGGCACTGAAAACTCTAAATAAAGAAGGAAGAAAATAATCGTTAGGAATAGAGCCTGGCCCACTACTAACCATAACCTAGGACACCATTGGTAACAAAAAGACAATCTTCTCTAAAAATTTTACAAAAATATATCATACAAATTTATTTAAATTTATGATCTCATAATTACAATTTTAAAGTTTCAGATTTCTGACTGACATACACCCATTGTAGAAATCTTACACACAAGAGCAGTGCTATAGGATTTTCAAAGTACATCCCTTACAAAAGAGCATATGGCAATAGACACAACACACATTTATGAGAATCTACACTGACATGTATACTCCTTCCTGTGATCGCAATTAATCATGAAGAGGAAGGACAAAGCAGTCGATATTCTTGAGAAATTGGTGGCCAATAGTGGATATTCTGAAGCCGCAAATGTGATTGGGGTTCAACCATAAAAGAGTTTCCAGAAATCAACTTCCCTTTCTTTTTCATCAATTCTTTTTTTCTCTAGTCAATACTATATTTATCCTCCTACTTTTGAGGTCCTCAGTATCTGAAAGTTGTATCTCTGTCACTAAATTAAACAAGTAACAGTTATTCTCAGTTTAGAGTTTGTGACAATATTTGAGGGGAGAGAGGATAGAAAAATTAGAATGCTCCTTTTGATGTGAATATTTTTGCTTCTTCGCTGACATCAAGTTTTTTTTGTTTTAAAGCTGGGTCTCTTCTTCTTCTTCTTTTTTTTTTTTTTGTGAGGAAGATCAGCCCTGAGCTAACATCCGTGCTAATCCTCCTCTATTTGCTGAGGAAGACCAGCTCTGAGCTAACATCTATTGCCAATCCTCCTTCTTTTTTTTTTTTCCCGAAAGCCCCAGTAGATAGTTGTATGTCATAGTTGCACAGCCTTCTAGTTGCTGTATGTGGGACGTGGCCTCAGCATGGCCAGAGAAGCAGTGCGTCGGTGCACACCTGGGATCCAAACCCCGGCCGCCAGTAGCGGAGCGCCCGCACTTAACCGCTAAGCCACGGCGCCGGCCCAGCCATCAAGTTTTGATAAATATTTAAGACATCTAAAATATAATTTTTCTGAAAACAAACATTGTTTCTAATGCATATTTTTCATTTCTCATTCTTTAAGACTTTTATTTCTCTAGAAGATGCAATCTTTTCTTGAGAGTCTAGTCTGTCTTTTACTTTTAAAGGCCTCATTAATTCCTCTTAAACAAATTTGGATGGAAACATTCTATTAGCCTCTCAAATTTAAAAGAATTCATTAATTTCTCTATTCTCACACACTTCGAAAGAAAAGATTTGTTCTACTAGTCTACACAATTAGGATTTCATATTACCGTCTGAAACCTGAAGCACAGATAGGGACACTTTATTCAAAAGTCTAAAGTTTGACAATCCATAAGAGACAGGTGAATCTAGATGCTTAAAACAGATACCTTTGTCATCCGTTTTCACAGGCCTTTGAGTAGCACCAGGCCTTAATCTATTTTGTGACTCCAAAGGAGGCTGAAGAACTTTCAAGGAGGAATAAATCACTTCCTGATTGCTCATGTCTAGAGTAAGAAGAGAAATGTGTTTTGCAGTAAAACTTTGCAACAGGATAATTTCTGTATAAAGCTAAATTAAAATGTCAGTCTATAGGAACATACCACGATTAAGAGGCATGTATATTTGTATATGTGTGGGGGTGTGTTTATAACTCCTGTAAGTGCCTACAGCATGTAGACTCAGCTTGATTTATTTAAGAAATGGAAAACCTTTCAATATCTCTGATAAAACCATATATACTACTTGTGATTACTGCCATAATTATGAGAAAATACAGAAAGAATTTTTTAAAGTCTACCAATAGTTTGAATAGGCTGGGTCCTATTTATCCAGCCAATATAGCTCAAAATGTTCAACATACACAAACAGATATTAGGCAGAATTGGTACCATCCCAAATTACTGAGACACTTTTAAAACTATCAACTCAAAAAACAAAAATTCTATTTTTATAATTCTGAAAAAATATAAATATCTTGACTTAAAAAACAATATACACATTCAGATCTTCATATAAATATTAAAAAGTTCTTGCATTCTTTTCAACTACATGACTATACCAGAGTGTTTCCCAAAGTGTATCCCATACACCATCTGCAAAAGAATTATTGAGGGTTAACACTGCAGACTGGTTAACATTCCAGATTCCTGTGCCCCATGCAAGATGTGCTGAATAGAATTCTCTTAGGTTGGTGCGTAGACACTTGTATTTTTAATCCCAAATGATTTCATGCATATGAAAATTTTAGAAATAATCTTCTAGTGTATGATGTTGCCAGAGAAGCCTAGTGAAAATAAATTTGTCTGTTGGCAGTCACTAGTGAATATCCATAAAAGATTCAATCTACTAATAGATATTAATATAAAAAGAAATTCATAAATAGTAAATATTTAAAATTTACCTTGCTGATTGTATTAATAGGTGTGAAAAGATGATATCCATAAAACAAGAAATGTGGAAAACAAATTGCACACGTTAACTGTATTCTTTTAAAAGTTTTTTTAATTTATAAAATTTTCTAAACTTAATTATTCACATTTTCTCTAATTTCCTAAGATAAAGGTTTATCTTTTCTATTACAGAGTCTTTTAAGATTGGTAAGATAATATGTAAATCATTAGATCGAATAAAGAGTAATTAACCCCACAAATCCCTCTTAATTTAGATAACACAAAGCAAAATCGTAGTATATTGAAAAAAGAAAATAACCTTCCGTGAATGCTGAACTACAGTTTTCACACCCTACCCAGTTAATGCAGCCCTAAAGCAATCAATAGAGAATGATCTCACATCAATCCCACATTTGTGCCAAGTCATCTGTAATAAAATGTCATATTCCTAGAATATTTTCTTTATAAGTAGGACTAACAGTATACTCAGGTACAAAGATCTGGAGGAATGAAAGCAGATTTACCTGTATCTGTGCCATGCAGTGACGCAGGTCTAGATAGCCAACCCAAAAACGAGATGGGAGAAGTTGACCTTTCCAATGCTGGATCTCCTGGGTGCCTGAGAGGCTGCAAGACGGAAGGCAGAAATGAATTGTCTCTGAGTGGTACCACTACTCAAAAATTTCTGCCCCTCCTCTTGACCAAAGTGGCAAAAGGAAATTGTATGATCAAAGCTGAGGTTGACGGGAAAGGAAAAATGGTCATGAGCTATATCTTCCTCCATTTCCACTAAACAACCACTTGGTATACTTCGCAAAATAATATTCAAAATCTCTATTTGAGAACTAAGAAGATAAAGGAACACAGCTTTGCAGAAAAGAAAAACTAATATCTTTAACAAATCCGGCATACTTAAAAGAAACTCCTAGTAAAAACAAATGATTAAAATATATATGTATAAATATACATACATATACATAAGAAATATCATTACTAGACTTTTTACTTCTTAAACACCTGTTAGAAACTTTCTCTTATATGTTCCTGTTGGAAAAAAAATATTATTTCTTTTTCCCATTTGTGTTTATTACAAGTAAACATATTTTAGAAATTATTTTAAACCTCCATAATTCCACTATAAAAATGTTGGGGTATATTCTTCTAGGTTTTTATCTGTACATTAGGTTTACTATCAAAGTTGCTGTCATTCCATACACAATCTATTGATCTATTATTTTCTATCAATAAGAATTTCTTCACTTAAAAAATATTTATTTAAAATGTGATCTTAACACCATATGTAGTTATTACCCATATGGATTATATCATATTTATTTAGGTAATCTCCTATTGTTGGACATGTAGGTTGTTTCCCAATTTTTGTTAGTATAAAAAATATTTAACCCGTACTTTTGAATATTTTCTTAACAAAATTTTTTAAACATGAAATTATGGGGTTAAGCGGTATATACAATGAAGAACTTTGATACATATTACCAAATGCCCTCCAGAAAAGTTGTTCCCATTTATACACCACTAAGTTGTCTATCAAAATGTTCCCTATTGATTTCTAAGAGATAATGGTGAATTATTGCTCTACTTGAGTTTTGTGTATGAATCTTACATCATGAAGACCTACAACTTTCCAGCTAAAAGAAATTCATTTCTAGAACTCTGTTTCTATGAGCCAGATCTGCCAGAGTACATTCAAATCACTGATTGAATTTCACTTTCGTTTGATACAGGTCTTGTCGATCTTCTGACATACTGCTCTATGAGGCCCATTTAAATTGCTCTTCAAATCAAGTGATAGTGGTTAATATGGAGTGTGGAGGAAGAGGAGTGGGGTGTGGGACACAAGGGGAAATTGATTATGCAGAGACAAACCCACCGCTATCTCACCAGCTCTGACTAAATTCCTTGCTTATTCTCTTCTTCTCTTACCCACCTCTAGCCACAACCGAACCATCACACTTTAAAAGGCTTCCTCATTCTTCAGTTTGCTTATGCCCCCACTTCTCCTCCCAACTACTTTACAGACATGGTCTATGGAGTTTTATGACCACTAGGACCCAGTCTAGTTGTCTGCCTCTTATTTGCCCTCAACTGGCCTACTTCTGTCCCCCGATGCAGTCCTCAATCTCTGAATCACCACTGAAGTCTGCCACTTGTCACCACGTGCAGGCAGTCCATTGAAATATGTCCCAACGACTAATTTATTTCAGTAAAATAAGCAAAGTTTATGGGTGTAGTCTGGACACTTCAGGAATACTTGCTGCTCGGCATTTTCTTCCCTTTTCTCTAATCCTGGATTGGCTTTGTCAATCTCAAAACAGAGAAAGATCTCCATCATTCTGTCCCAATGCCAAAAATGAAGAAATAAACGAAGCTCTGCTGAGAGAACATAGGATGTAGGGGTGGGAGAAAGAGGAATGGTTGCCAAAAGGTGGCAGAGAGAGACGCCATCATTTATTGGAAGACCTACTGTGTGTATAACCACATTGAAACCTCTCAACACTGACTGCTATTTATTACTGTCTCCATTTCACAAATGAAGACATTAACGTTAAGAGGTTAATTGACTTGACAAAGGACACATTATTGTTAATTCTTGACCCATGTTTAAAATCAAGCCTGACTGAATACATAGAGCACAAATGGACTATGAATTCAAAAGGCCTGGATTTTCAACACACCTCTGCCACAAAGCATGAATTCTGGAACCAGGCAGATCTGGCTTGAAATACCAGCCTAGCTTCTATGTGTGACTTGAGGCAAGGCAATTCACTTCTCTAAACTTTGAATTCCCCACAATAAAATAGCGATAATACTTTAATAATATTTAAATTAATATTAAATTAATTTAGAATAATATTTAATAAGAATTAGGGTATATAAAGTGCCTAACCAGACCTGGAACATACATAGTAGGCACTCATTAAATGTCAAATATTATTATTTGAGGTCCAAGATTTAAATCCTTTCTAGCTGTAAAAATTTGAATGTGTTCAACAAGAACATCACTCACTTCATAGACTTGGAAGAATCCAATGAGATTATCACTTCAGATAGCATTTCTTAGCCTTCAAAATAGGTAAATGTTCATTTTTTCTCTCTCTCCCAAGGTACTGTAAATAGTGTAAGAGCCAGGACTGCAACCCAGAAATCCTGATACACTGAACTAGGTTCTCTATCATAACGTGTCAGGTTTGGAGTGCAGATGCTTGGAGGAAAGCGTGTGTGTGTATTGGGGGAGGGGATGCACATTATTTAATCAAGGAGCAGGGAAACATGTGGCAGCACAACACTACCTCTCTAGAAAAGCCATTCTGTAACCTCGGATCCTGTTATTTGCATCTGGCTTCCCCGTGGAGATATTGGTAATGTTGAGCTTTTTTTTGTTTTGTTTTTATTTACACCCCTATATCTGGTGGAGGGTAGACAGTTCTCACGATGGAAGCTAGACAGGTGCAGAACACATTTTTACACTTGGGTAGTTGTCTCTCCTCTGTATAAACTCCATAGGGTGAGTACATCTGCCTTGTTCATTATTATAACTGCAGCATTTAGAAGAGATCCGATGTCTAGATGTACAGTTGATGAACATGTTAAAGTTAAGAGAAATTGACTACAAAATCTGGATTTTTCAGTTTTAGAAAGAGGCCTAATGAAACTAATGATTGTAAAGCCAAATTGTGTAGCTATTTCGTCAAAGCTCTAGTTTCTTCTTATTACTAAGCTTTGAATTTCTGGAAAGGAAAATTTCTTCTTAAATGAGAAGACAGCCAGCATCAGAAGATTGCAACAATAACTTCAGACTGGACTAACTGAAACTCCTAGCACGGCCTTTTGTTCAATGAAGCACAAAATTGGAAGCACAAAACTTCATCTATCCAAACAACTGTTAATAAATCAGAAACATAAGAAATTTGAAGAATGTTTTGAATGCTCTTGAACTTTGTCTTCTGAATTCATTTTTTTGCAAATCACACATACACATACATAATATGACTAAATAAAGCATTCGTGTATTTATTTCCTGGCTGCCTTGCTGCAAAGCCTTTCTGCATTTGGGAAACCACACATGTCACCCATCCCTTCCTGACAATATTAACTTTGTCAGCTAGAAGATTAACACACAGCTTCTAGTCACACTTTCAAGCTTTCCAGTCATAACTTCAAACCTCAGTGACTTATCATTTCACAGGAACATGCTGTTCTTCCTGTCCTAAGCTGAAGTAAAGGATGTCTGGAGTAACCACCAGCTCCCAGGGAAAGATGGTCTGCATCACTCTATCGTGAGGTATAACCTCACCTGGCCAGGTTCCTACCTCCATGGTTATTTGTCATAATGCCTAATCTTTTACACCACTGAGTGATATTAAATTTCCTGGCTTTTAGAGTAAAAACTTAAAAGACTTCTTGTTTGAGGTTTCCTGTTCCCCTAATTCATTACATCATTTTATCCTTCTTTTCTTTACAATAATAGCTATTTTAAATCACTAGAATTAAAATCCTCTATATTGTCCCATCTAGCCTCAAGCAGTCAATCAGACAGTAACCACCCTTCCTCCAATTTCTAGGTAACTAAATGATAAAGCCATTTCAGGAAATAAGTAAGCATGAAAAAAATAATGGCAAAAAAAGTATTTCAGATTACTATTCAGCCTCTGTGACACTAACAGATAAAGTCTATTCACAGGTTGAAAGGGAAAATAGTTCTGTGAAGTAAGGCTATAATTAAGAATTTTGAGAGTGATGTCAGCTTCATGGTGGAGTGAGCTCTTCCTTTAGACTCTCCCCCTAATACACAACAAAATGGACATTCATACACCAACAGAGCACATTTACACAACACAAAAGATTTCAGAGAGACTCATGCAGCCATACATCTGAAGATTGAGGTGCTGGACCTCTGGAGGAAATGGAAGGAGGTAAGGAGATTGCCTCTCCCTCTGGCATTGGCAGTGACCCAGGGCACAGGACTGAGCACACAGCTCTGAGAGGAGGGGGGGAGAGTTGGCTCTCAATGAGAACACCTTCACTCTCTGAGTTCCCTCACAGCCAATGGGAAAGCCCCACACATAGGTGACTAAGCTATTATGGGGGTATCCTCATCAAGCCAGCACCTCAGGAGATCAGATAGAGAGGGAAGAGTGAAAACATGCCCGGGATCATAGAGGTGAAAGAAAGTGCCCCTCCCCCACCTGGTGCTCCAGCTCAGCTGGTCAGCTAGAGCACCCAAGAGCACCCATGTATAGAATAGAAAATCAGCAGCTGTAAGCAAGCAAGTCAGGGATCATTGTGGGCTCAGAATACACAGCTCGTGACCCCCACCCAGTGGCAGCAGGTGGAATCTGTGACCAGACACTATTACTATGTAGAGGCACAGATTCATGCCATCAAAAAGTAGGAAAAAATAATGTGCAACTATGATGTACAGCTATCCACTGGGGGGCTTTGGAGGAAAAAAAGGAGGAGGATTAGGCAATGGATGTTAGCTCCAAGCTGGTCTTCCTCAGCAAAAAGAG